CTTTCCCTGCTTGCTTGCTGTCTCTCTTTCTCAAAATAAATAAATAAACTAAAAAAAAAACAAAAAACAAAAACCAACAAACACAAGTTTTGTGCAAATTACAGAGTTTTTAAGAGTCTTGGTAATTAGAGAGATTTCGCATTTTGTGACTTTTGCATTTGTCGATCATAAAACAGTGAGCTGTGGGGAAAGCTGAAAAGTTTACCAGGAAAAGAGTGTGCCTTGTCAGTCTTTTTGTGAAGGCATATTTCTGGAGTTGTCGGAGGTCAGAAGAAGAACTAAGGGAGAAGTCTCTTCATCAGTGAGGATGAGTGCTGAGTTCTACAAAAGTGTGCAAATTCCAAATAAACTGCTAGGAATAATAAAAAGCAAAATGTTGCAGAGTTTTGAGACCATCAAGTTTTCCCTGGCTTTTTTGGGGGAAAAAAATGAGTAACGAACCTTAGCTTGGAGTCCACAGAGATTCCTTGTGGTGTTCCCTCTCTTGCAGTGTGTGTTGGGTAGTTTCCATAATAAAAGATTTTTTTTAATAAAAAAAAAAAGGATGGAACAAGTGACAGTAGATGCTGGTCATTCCTCTTTTCCCTTCCCGTTTGGAAGCTCTACTATACGTTCTTTTCACTAGCGCTAACCTTCCCTTTTCTGATTTTTGGAACTGAAACAAGTTCTATTACAAGTCAGCCAGGTACCAGTCAATTCCTCCCGCTGAGGGTTTCTTTGCTCATCTCCCTTCCCCCACAGCCAAGAAGAGGTATTAAAATGCTTTCATCTGGGGCGCTTGGGTAGCTCAGTCGGTTAAGCATCCGACTTCGGCTCAGGTCACGATCTCACAGTTCGTGGGTTCGAGCCCCATGTAGGGCTCTGTGCTGACAGCCAGCTCAGAGCCTGGAGCTTGTTTCGGATTCTGTGTCTCCCTCTCTCTCTGACCCTCCCCTGTTCACGCTATCTCTCTCTCTCTCTCTCTCTCAGAAAGAAATAAAACATTAAAAAAAATGCTTTCATCTGCCCCCTTTCCCCCTCATCATCTCCCACCCCTTGCCAGCATCATTCAGCACTATTAGCTGCAGGCCACCAATAGGTACTACTATGTCTCTCTCCTGTTTTTTTTTTCTTTTTTTAAGCTCATGGGGTGCTTATATTACAAACTCAGTCTCACTGATCATTACCCATTTGGAATTAACTACACATGAATTGGTAGGGTCTTGGCTCCTTATGGATGGCTTCCTCTTCTCTTCATCTGCCTTGTGTGCAATCAGATTGGTTCCTTGCCTGATTCGACTCCTTTCTGTGGTGTTTTCCCCACTGTCCAGGGAGCCTCCTCCCCAGAGCCTGGCATCTTATCTCTTCCGGGTAGGCAAATGGCACCTTGGCGCGCATAGGATGTTTTTGTCTCTTCTTGATTTGCAAATGAGATGTGCGTTTTCAGTCGGATGCTCTTTTCCTCCCATGTAACTTGTTCCCTCATTCGGGAAGCTTGTAAGAGTTTTCCCTTTAATCATGGAATTCAGGAATCTTCCCAGGCCATGCCTAGATGTCTGCTTTTTTCCATCGCTCCTGCCTGGAACTCAACATGCCCTTTCGAACCAGAGTCTTTCTTTGAACCATGGAAAATTTTCTTTCTTGTTTTAAAGTTATTGCTTCTCCTCCATTTCCTGGATTTCTCTCCCTTTCTGGGCTTTTTATTATTCACATATTACGTCCTCTGGGTCTGTCTCTTCCTAGGCTCTTGGTTTCTTCTGCACAAGTTCTGTCTTCCTCCACCGTTGCATTATCTCTTCCACTTGGCTCTGTTTCCCAACCTCTCCTCCGGTTCGTGTTAAATTTAAAATCGTGCTTCCTAGTTCAAAACAAAATATTTTCTTTCACATTTGGTTTTTAAAAAAATGTTCTTATCGTTTGGTTTTCTTTGTGCCATTGTTGGACAGGCTGTGGTCTGTCTCCTCCTGGGCGAATCACAGGCTTTCTCCTGACTGTTGGCTCCCTCGGGTGTTCACTGTCTTCTCTTTGCCTTTTTTCCTCCCCACAATGTCAGCGTAAATCGTATTAAGTTCACTTTTTTTTCCAGCTTTACAGAGGAATAATTGACAGATAAAAATCGTATAGATTTAAGGTGCACAAGGAGGTGATCTGGTAGAAGTATGCATTGTGGAGTGAGAGCCACAATCAGTGAAAGCTGATTAACACACCTATCTCTTCACAGTTGTTTTTGTTTTTGTTTTTGCGGATGTGGGAACACTCAGGGTACCCAGCACAGTATCATTAATGACGGCCACCGTGCCACACGCTAGGTCTGTGGAGCTGACTCTTCCCATGTAACCAAAACTTTGTGCCCTTTGACCAACCTCCCCCACTGCGTGCACCCCACCGCTCTACTCCCGGCCTTGATGAGTTCGATGTTTTTTGATTTCGGGTAGAAGTGACATCACGTAGTATTTGTCTTTCTGTGTCTGGCTTATTCCACTTAGCATATTGCTTTCTGGGCTCATCCATGTTGTTGCAAATGGCAGCATTTCCTTCTTTCTCATGGCTGAATAATATTCCATTGTATATATGTATATCATGTTTTCTTTACTCATTCATCTGAAAGCATTCCAAGTAGCTTTTCTAACCGCAATGGAATGGAACCAGAAATCAGGGAGAAAACGAGAAAATTCACATTGGCAACAATATGGATGGAGCTAGAGTGTATTATGCTAAGCGAAATATGTCAGTTAGAGAAAGACAGATATGACTGCACTCCTGTGTGGAATTTGAGAAACTCAACAGGTGAACACAGGGGAAGGGAAGGGAAAATAAGATAAAAACAGAGAGGGAGGCAAAACCGTAAGAGACTCTTCAATAAAGAGAACAAACAGAGTTGCTGGAGGGGAGGTGGGGGGATGGGCTAAATAGATGACAGGCATTAAGGAGGGCACTTTCTGGGTTGAGCCCTGGGTGCCATATGTAAGAGATAAATCACTGGGTTCTGCTCCTGAAGCCCAGACTACCCTGTCTGTTAACTAACTTGAACTGAAATTTAAAAGAAAATGAGAAAAATTCACAAAAACATGGGGACTAAACAGTACACTCTTGAACAATCATTGGGTCAAATAGGAAATCAGAAGGAAAATTTAAGAACATCCCGAGACAAATCAAAAACACAACATACCCAAAGCTTACGGGATGCAGCAAAAGCTGTGCTGAGGGAAACTGGTCCCCGTCCATTCTTGCACCTCTAACTGGCCCAAGCATCGCGTCCAGCTCACAGGCTGGCTGTGCCTGGAGGTGCCCCAGAAGGGTGTGCCCTGTGTCCCCATCTCCCAGGGACAGGGAAGGATTCTGCAGATCCTTCCAGACCACCCAAGTCTGCTGGCCCCAGCACTCTGGCAGCTCCCTGCACCAAGCTCTCTCCTGGAATGGGGCAGCCCTGATTCTCCCCTCACGCTGTCTGCTGTCAGCCCCTGCTGTGTGGCCAGAGGGAGCCAGCGCCCTCAGGCGGGGGCCCTGCCCATCGGCCACGCCTGGCTGCGGGCTACCTGGGCGCCTTGCTCTAACAGCACTTTTGGGGTTGGGACACGGGGCAGCCTTCCTCCAGGACGTTTAATGAAAGAGAGCTTCTTGGGTCTCATGGATGTTGATGGGGTTACTGAGAGCGACCATCTCGTGCAGGGCTATAAAAATACACCCACAAAGAAAAATGGCAGCAAAGTGAAATTGACTGGAATGTGCAACCAGGTCTATGACAGAGCATCTGGAAGGTATAGAATACTGAGTGGCACTGGAGGCGGTTTGAAGAGTTCTGCACATCGTTTGGTTCTGGTAATAATGAAGTTCTGAAAGGAAAGGAAAGACCTCCAAAGCCCTCAGTGATGTTCTTGGCATTACCCAGTGTACCCCCTGCAAGAATTTCCCAAAGCTTTGAAAGTGGGGTGCAGATGAAGCGTGCGGGAGGCAAGGTGATTTCCCCAAAACACCCGTAGCTGTGAGGAGCCGTGTTCAGATGCCGCTGGGCCACGGCCCGCTGTAGCGAAGGCGGCATTCAGCGGGTGCAATGGATGGCCCTGTTTCCAAATTTGAACTTACCTTGCCATTTTAAGTTTCTTTACCACAGGGTAAGTGTCATAGGAATATTTTTCTGAAGAGCTTCAAAGTGAAGCTATAGATGCTTTCTTTCTTTGTCTTGAAAATCCAAAAAAAGATCATCATCTGAGAGAAATTAGGAACATTTCAAAGCCGCCTGGGACACAGTGGATAAATTATGCCAAAAACCAATTCCTAAGGACTTCAAAGTTGAAAAGTGTTCCTTTCAAAAGAAAGGAAACTCTGAAATAAAGTAAATGGTAGTGATTCAGATTAGGCATTTCTTCGGCTTTGTTAGAGGAGAAGTATTAAATTAGTGTCTGTTTTAAGGGATAGGTTCCTAGATTATCTGATTTAAATTTACACTTTCCTAGAAGCAATCATGACAAAGGGAAACACATTTCTGAACTGCCCTGTTCAGATGGAACAAAATAACAAGTAGAAAAGGTCAAACACGTGCAAGGCTTGTGCAGACTGGGAGCACTTTGCAGCCCTCGTTTCGGAGCGTGTTTTATGAACCACCAGAAACACTCCTTCTGTTGGGATTGCATCAGGCTAATTGATCTTGGCGGCTTGTTGATTTGACATGGTCTTGACCGCCCTGCTCCTTGGTCCCAGCTACCATGTAGGGCAGTGCAGAAAGCTGATCTACTCTTAGTGGATAGAAATCCACGCTTTCTGCCCTATCAGGAGAGAGTCTCTGGCTCTGATGGCTGCTGAGTGGGACAAATCACAGCAGCAAAGTTTTCCCGAGTCCTCCCTTCTTCCAGCTGCGGGGAACAACCTGAACACATTAGCTCCTCAGTCTTCAAGCAACCCTTAGGGAAGGGATTCTTAGCCTCACTTCCTGGGTGAAGAAAACGAGGCTCAGAGGGGTTTAGTGACTTGCCCAAGGTCACACAGCAAGTACGACTCAAATCCAGAGCCCCTGACACCAAAGCCAGTATAATCATTATGTTATTTGTAACCAAAGGATGACATTCCTGTGACATCATGGATTTGAATCCACTGGGATAAAAACAGTGCGTTCCTACTTTAATCTCACATTTAGGAACTTCTCATTTCGGGAAGGATGATGTGCTTTATATACATTTTAGGATGATTACACATTCCAGTACAGTTCTGAAGCTCCCTGCTGAGTAGGGCTGACTGTCTTCTCTGTTGCTGGGATGACACAAAAGACAAAAATGAGAGGGAAATATTAGGAAATAATTCCTCATTAAAAAGTAAATTTCCCTGGATGCCTGGGTGGCTCAGCTGGTTAAAGTGTCGGACTCTGATTTCTGCTCAGGTCATGATCTCATGGCTCATGGGATAGAACCCCAAGTCGGGCTCTGTCCTGACAGTGCAGAGCCTGCTTGAGATTCTCTCTCTCCTCTCTCTCTCTGCCTGTCCCCTGCTCTCTCTCTATATATATACATATAAATAAATAAGTAGACAAAAATAAATACATTTCCCTTCCTAACCAAACTGTGAGCTATTTATATAATGGAATACTTACTATTCCACAGTGAAAAGTATGGACTCGTGTAGCAGCATAGATGAATCCCAAAGGCCTTACGCTGGGCAAAGTAAGCCAGACACACAAGAGGACATAGTGTATGACTTTTTTTTGTATGCAATTCTAGAAAAGGTAAACCTGGTATATTCTTCTGCTACAGCTGCCACAGACGAAATGCCTGAAGCAACAGAAACTTTCTTCCAGTCCTGGAGGCCAGAAGTCCGAGATCAAGTTTTGAGGAAGGCTGGTTTCTCCTGAGGTCTCTCTCCTTTCCTTGGAGATGGCCTTCTCCCTGTGTCTTCACATGGTCTTTCCTCGTGCATGTGCATACCTGTGTCCTAATCGCTTCTTTTTAAAAAAATATTTTAAAATGTTTATTTACTTATTGAGAGAGAATGAGAGAGAGCACAAGCAGGGTAGGAAGAGAGAGAGAGAGGGAGAGAGAGAAAATTCCAAGCAGGCTTCATGCTATCAGTGCAGAGCCAGACTCGGGGCTTGAACTCATGAACCATGAAATCATGACCTGAGCTGAAATCAAGAGTTGGACGCTTAACCGGCTGAGCCACCCTAATCTCTTCTTTTTTAAAAAAATTTTTTTTATTTCTGAGAGGAGAGACAGCATGAGCAGGGGAGGGTCAGAGAGAGAGGGAGACACAGAATCTGAAACAGGCTCCAGGCTCTGAGCTAGCTGTCAGTGCAGAGCCTGATGCGGGGCTCGAACCCCCAAACCGTGAAATCATGACCCGAGCCGAAGTCAGCTGCCCAACCGACTGAGCCACCCAGGTGCCCCCCCACCCCCAACCAATCTCTTCTTATAAGGACACTAGTGATACTGGATTAAGGCCCACCCATGTGACCTCATTTTAACTTAATTACCTTTTTAGAAGATCTGTCTCCAAATATAGTCACATTCTGTGGTCCTGGGGTCTTACTTAAGACTTCTACATTTCATTGTATGTCAACTCCACTTGAAAGAAAGTCAAGAACAAGTAAGTACTGGGCTCTAGTGAATGATTTGCATGCACAGTGTTCAGGGGTGAAATATAGTGATGTCTGCAAATTGCTTTTGAACTGATTGATGGGTGAATAGATGGATACACAGAGCGGCATGTTAACAACTGTAGTATCTAGGTGGCAGGTTTATATGGATATTCGTTGTACAATTCTTTCAGCTTTTCCATATGCCTGAAATTTTTCATCATAGGAGGCTGGGCGGAAATATTTTTAAAAATAACATTTCCGTTGCAAAATGTTATTCAGAACTTTCTCATAAAGTCTCTTCAGTGCTAGCTCAAGTCCACCCATAGACCACCAGGACCCCATGCTGAGTCATTGGTGGGTTCAGGGACCCCCAGTGTTTTAAGCTCCTATATGCCTGTGTCTGGAGGGAAGGGGAGGAAGACAATTCAGAGAGAGGCTTGAGGATGCTAGAGAGTTCCAGGGACTGGCTAAGGTGTCAGAGGAAACTGAGGCGCACAGTTGTTTAAGCTTTGCTATTTAGAGTCCAAGGCAGACCATGATCTGCTTTCTTAAGCCATGATGGAATCATTGAGCCATGGTGGATGTTCGGGGAGGGCATATGAATGATAAGGAGTTGGCAGCACACAGTAGGCTCACAAGTGCTGAATAAATATTTGAATGAAACTGGAAAGGGGCCCACTAAGCACGTGGCCTTCAGGAGACAGTGAAGTCGCCTGTCTGGTGGAAGGGAGTCTGTCTTTGCCTCTGCCCCAGCCCACCTCTGGTTTGGCCTGAGTTACCTCGAGAAATGAGCCCAGGAGAGGCAGCCTGGTCTCTGGGTTCCTGGACAGCCTGGGTGAGGGCGCTTTGCCACATTCTTAGGAGAGAGCACATCCAAAACAATTTCTTTTTCTAAAAACTCAGTGCTAACGGGATCCAGATGTCCATTTGTTATATAATGGGGTTTGTTTTAATAGCGTCAACTTCCAGATGTGCAGCCTGGAATCAAGAAGCCCATTGGCCCCCTGAGGACACCGCGGGCCAGGCCCAGAGCTGCCCGGGGAAGGGGAGCGGCAGACGTACGTGCAGAACCAGGCACGGGAGAAGAGCTGGGGGTGCCTTCCCGCCGCCTCCCCGGCCACTCACCTGCCCAGCGGCTGCCCCCGACTGGGGACTGGGGAGGGAGGCGCAGGCCTGAACAGGGGCCCCCAGGGGACAATCACAGAAAGGCAGCCTGAGGGGTGTGCGCCTTGGAATCCCAGGTGCACCCAAGCTGCTGGGTGATCCCGGTTGGGTCCCCTGGCTTTGCGGAGCCTCACGGTCCTCAGACGTACAGTGGGTCAGCACCACTGCACCCCCAGGGTGGCGGTGGAGGACAGTTGAGGTGAGGGGCACAGAGGAGACGCTGGGAAGCCTTGGGCCTTTCCCCTTGGTCAGAGTGGAAGGACCAGGCCCTTGTTACCCAGCATCCCATGCTCCCCCCTCCCCGCCACTGGCTTTCTCACCAAGCTGGGACGCCCCTAGACGGCAGGCACCGGTGACATTCTCCCTGGAATGCTGGAAAACTGCCAACGGTGGAGCACTCGCCACCTCCCCTGGGGCTTGTTTCATGGCCTCACAATTATCCTTCTGTTTGCCAAGGGGTGATGCCCAGGGGTGTGAGCTTGGCTCTCCGGAGCCTTGCTGAGCACATCACTCCCTCCTGAGCAGGATGGCCCCGAGTGCCAGAAGACGGCGACCCCTTCTCCCAAACCTTCTGCTCCTGGGTGGCTGCAGCTCTGACATGAGAGGGAGTCAGGTTTGGGTGCCCTGAGAAGGGGTGCCCCAGATCCCTGACAAGAAAGATCACAGGACCTTTACTCACAGGAGATGCACACGCCTTTATCCGCAACAGAAAACGTCACCGCCATGAAAGACAATCACCCCCAAATGAATCCATGCACACAATGCGAGTCCAATAAAATTCCAGTCAAACGGGGGGGGGGGAGGGTAACATAGAGTTGAAATGGAAAATGAATATAGAATAATAATTGCTGTGGACTGAATGTCTGTGTCCCCCAAATTCCTATGTCAGAATCCTAACCCCCAGTGATGGTGTCAGGAGGGGAGGCCTTCAGGAGGTGATTGGATCGGGGGGCAGAGCCCGCTTGCACGGAATCGGAGCCCTCGTGGAAGGACCCGAGAGCTCGCTCGCCCCTCCTCTGCCGTGGGAGGATGCAGCAGGAAGCCAGCAGCCCGCCACCTGGAAGAGGACCTTGCCCAGAACCCGATGGTGCTGGCGTCCTGATCTCAGAGCATGAGAAGCACAGTGCTGGTGTTTATACATCACCCAGTCTGTGGTACTTGGTTACAGCAGGCCCAGCCAAAACGCCATGGTATCTCTGCCAATGAAGGCCAGTGAGGGGGGCACTGACCCTGCTAGCTGTTCAAACACATGGCCAAACTCCAGTACTTCACGCAGTTTGAGCCCCAGGATCTGCGGTGCCAGCAACCGGCATAGCAGAGAGAGAAATGGCACAGCGAACTGGAAGTCAGGAAACAGACCCATCCGCAGATGAGAATGTGGGATGTGAGAAAGAGAGCGCATTTCAGGGGCACCTGCGTGGCTCCGTCGGTTAAGCAGCCTTCTCTTGGTTTTTGCTCAGGTCGTGATCTCACAGTTTGCGGGTTCCAGCCTTGTGTCGGGCTCTGTGGTGACGGCATGGAGCCTGCTTGGGATTCTCTCTCTCCCTATCTCTCTGCCCCACTCTTGCAAGCACTCTCTCTCAACATAAATAAATAGATGTTAAAAAAATGTGTTTCAAACCGAAGCCAATGGCAAATGTTGGCTGGTTCCTTTCCGGGAGAAGGACTTGCCTGGGGCAGCGTGGAGAGCGAGGGAGAAGGGCTTGGTTTTCATTTGTCTCTTTCAGGGCTGTCTACTTGTCCAACACTAGATATGTACTACCTTTTGTTTAATGTCGATGTATTTTTATGTCAATTACGTGTTCTCCAGAGTTCTTGATTCCTTTCGGGTTTTTTTTTTCCTTTGTTCATCTCTGTATTTAAGCAAAACCTAATAAATGTTACAACACTAATAATAAAAGGGTATATAATAAGCTGCTGGTGGTCATTACCTTGGGGAAGTGGGTTCAGGGGAGGGCTTTCACCTTCTGAGTCAGATCCACTGGATTACTTCTTCTCATCCCCCTTGACTCGTCTTCCTTGTTCTCTTCCTCTTCCTCTTCCTCCTCCTCCTTCTCTTTCTTTTCTCTCTTTTTTGTTTAGGTTGCAAGTATGACTTTGAAAACCGAAAAGATGAGGAATTTTCAACAAAGCAAACAAACTGGTGCAGGAACGATGGATTACTTACTGAATGGGACTGGACAACAGGCTTACAATTTGGAAAACATAGAGTCTTGCCTTACACCTGAATAAACCTAAGATGGCTTAAAGATTTACACGCTAGAAGTTAAACCATAAAGAATCCTAATGCCTAGGGGAGCCTGGGTGGCTCAGCTGGTTAAGTGTCTGACTTTGGCTCAGGTCATGATCTCACGGTTCATGGGTCTGAGCCCCGCATCGGGCTCTGTGCTGACAGCTCAGAGCTTAGAGCCTGTTTGGGATTCTGTGTCTCCTCCTTCTCTGCCCCCTGCCCCCGCTTGTGCTCCCTCTTTCTTTTTCTCTCTGAAATAATAATAATCTTAAAAAAAAAAAAAAAAGAATCCTAATGTCTATACAGTTTTACAATAAGCGGTTTTCTAAGAAACTGTCAAATGAACAGATTGATGGATTGGACACCAAAAATATGTAAGTCTCCTTTCCATCAAAACAAAATAAAATTAAGGTCAACCTGCGGGGGGGGGGGGGGAGAAGGAGGGAGGGATATGACAAGATAGCTATGTAACAAAGAATCACGAATTTCAATATACAAAGACCTCCTACAAAAGTCCCTGCCCATACTTCATTCTCCGGGGCCAAGAAGAGAAGGGAATTTGACCGCAGGGCAGGCTGGGTTTTCTAGCACAGGCTGCAGGTGGGGCGGGCGGGGCTGAGCCAGAGGGTTCAGAATGGGAGCAAACAGCTCCATGGGCAGCTCCAGGGCCAGGGCTGGGTGCCCTCCATGTGGCAGGGGTTCCCCAGTCTCCCTGGCATCCACAGTCCCATCTGGTGCCAGCATCTGCAGCCCAGCCTGACACACGGCCCGCCCCGGCGCATCGAGCACTTCCCATATTCCTTCACACACATCAGGCACTTCCCATTCTCGTGACTCTTGTAAATGCTGGTCTCTCTGCCTGGCTCACCCTCTCTCATCTTTACCAGAAAAAAAAAAAAAATCCAACTGCTCTTTGAAAGCTCAGCTCAGATGTCTCTTGTTCTGCAAAACCATCTTAGAGCCACCAGCGCCCCACGGAGCTCCCCTCAGTCTCCCGCGGTGTCTGCCCAGTCTTCTGTCTGCCTGTCCACACTTTTCTGCCTACCTGTCCTGTCCTTCTCTGGGCTCTTCTTCTGGGTCTTTCTAGACGGGGCTCTCTGGGGTTCCCCCCAGGCTGCTCCAAGTCCGGCAGGGAGCAGGCGTTCAGTCAATCAACAATGCACAAATGAATGGTACCTCGAGTGACAGAGCAGAGCACTTGAACTGCCACTCCCCACATTGGTTGGTTGAGCTTCAGGGTCGATCAAGTTCTTTCCTAAAACAGTACAATTCTATTAACAGTAAGGATACGAGTTATTTGCCTGTCATGCAATTATGAGAGATACGTGAGAAGAGAAGTGCCAGGTTACAGTAAGAGCAAAAGCAAGAAACCCACCAAGAGATGGTGGTAGCTGAATGCACTTGAACTTCTGAAAGCCAGTGCTGAGTCTGACAGTAATGGTGCCAGGCACGCCCTGCCCTTGAGATACCCAAGGGAGGAGCAAGAGCTATGAGAATGACATTCCCAGGCTTTGTGGTGACACCTTGAAGGAAGTGTTTGTAGATTGCAGATGCAGGGAAGGACACCCCCCCCCCCCCCCCCCCCCCCCCCCCCCCCGCCAGCAGATGGGTCCTGGGACTGTTTGGGGACGGTGTGCAAGTCACCTCTGGAGGGTGTCCCTAGACTGAATCCTCTTGAGTTAGAAAACGGGACTGTTCTCACTGGTGGTTCGGCCAGCAGAAGACGTGGTTCTTAGGGGGGGCAGAGGGAGAGAGGGGGGCACCCGGCAGCAGGGCGAGGACCAGGGAGGAAAGGGACCAAGGGAGGAGGGGAGTCGCAGAGGCAGCAGATGGACTGGGTGTGGCTCCACCCTCCTCCCTGCGGCCAGAGCAGCGGGGTGCTCCACCGGCTTGACCAGCCCAGAGACAGCTCGCACAGAGCGGAGGCCGTGGTGGACTCAAGGAGGACGTATGCCTCCATCTGGGCTTTGCGCACAGTCACAGGGGCTCCAATGAACACAGGGCTCAGGAAGGTCTGTCCTCAAAGCCCCCCGCTAGCAGCAGAGCCAGGATTCAATGTCACATCTTTCTAATTCCAGAGCCTGACTTTTTTTCCGCTCTGCTAAAAAAAGCAAGGCCACTGGCACAAGGCAGGCGTGGAGCCCCAGGGCCAGAGCCGGCCTCCGTCTGGGTCAGTGTAGCACCAGGGTCAAGGTTAGAGCCGTGGGTTGCCCTGGGGCCAGGGCCAGACGAGGCCTGGGAGCAACTGGCTTTCGGGGCTCCAGGCAGCTGGCACAAGACAGCGTCTGGGGGTTATGGCAGGGTCTGCTGGAGCACCCCCCCGCCTCGGCCTCAGCCCGGGCCCCGCCTGACCTTCCTGCCCAGAGGCGAGGAGCTGGCCTGGCCCTGGTCCTGGGGAAGGCTGTCCCGGCAGACAAAGGCTCTTTCTTTCCCAGCACAAGGTCTTGATTGCGTGTTGCGCTGGATCCCAAAGTTCCTATGAAGTAAGTGGTTCCCTGCCAGGGTGAGTGTGTGTGTGTGCGGGTGTGCACGCATGTGGACATGGGTGTACGGGTGTGGTGGGCCCAAGGGAGCTGGGTGGTCAGGGTGGTCAAGCCCTCTCCCTGCCTCCCAACTTGGTATTTCTCCGTTCGCATCCTTTGTGCACGTCTTGCGCTGTGTAGTCCCCGTGCCCGTGTGCGGGGCGGGTCCATGTGCGGGAGCATGTTTGAGCGTGTGTCTGCCTCTGTGCGTGTGACCCCCTCGGCATCCGTACCTGTGCAGACGCCTGTGCACGTCAGCATGCTTCTCTACGTGCTTGCACGCCCACACATCTGTGGGGCTGAGACTGTACCGAGTGCTTTCCGGGGCCGTGAGTGTCTCACGTGTGAGTCTACATGCGACACCTGGGCCCAGACCTCCCACCTCCGCTGCTTCTGGCTGCGCCTCCCCATCCTCCCCCATCCCTGGCTGCTGCTGGAAGTGTGCGAGGCCTCTTAAGGTAGCCCCTTTCCTTCTCCCCTCCCCTCGCCCCCGCTTCTGCATCCGTCTGGGAACAACCTGGCCCCTTTCAGCTCTGGGAGGAAGACAGGTTTATACAGCTTGGCTTGGCCCATACACTTTCCAAAAGCTCCCTGGCTCCCAGCCGACTCTTTACAAAA